AAGCTCGTGAAGTTACAGACTTCAGTCATATGGAAATTCCTGCAGAACTTTCCTACATCTTTGACAGTATCAAATGTGAGTGGGCTTCATCATTTACAAAATGTGCCTGTATCTCCCCTGGTCACATGCAAACGAGTTTTGTTAAGGCTGACATACAGAATAACAGCATTGTGTACCATCATGTACAGTCAAACCTGCCAAAGTGACCACGGTGGCTCTTCAAGCTGGCCACCTGTCCATGGTGACCGCTTTTTCTCGGTCCCCAAAATTTTCCCCATTGATGCAAACATTAAGCAACCTGTCCAATGTAACCACCTGGCCAACGTGACCGCGACGGGTCTGCTCAAGGCCTGATACCTGCCCTGGCGGGTAGGTGACCAAATCATTTTCGGTCATGCTGATTATTGATGATAACTAATGAGAAATCATGGAGAAACCAGCCTGTTTGCCTTGACTGCTGGATGATGTTTTTGTTAGACGTAAATTGTTCCATGTGCCACCCTCCCCACATGCATTCACCACGGAAATGAAGATGCTTACAGCATTAAACATTAAAACATCTCGACTTGGAAACCATTTATGTCTCAGTCATGTTGTGAGGTCGACCTCTTCAAGGAGACCACCAGTCCAACGTGACCACTTTTCTTGGTCTCCTAGGTGGCCAGCTTGGACAGGTTTGACTGACATACTTGTAGCTTGTAATGTGTTACAGTAACTGTATATACAATGTAAAACCCTTTTGTATTCTTTAATCCAACTCACTTCTAACAACATGTAGACTGCACAAATGCAGAGTTTTTAGAAAAATGGGAATCCAGTGGTTCACAGCCTTATATTACACAGTCTTGTAAAAAGAAACTGAATGACATTTCATACAAGCACTTTTCCATTATGATAAGAAAATGAAATAAGTAAAAGATTGCATAACTGTGTAACGGGGGTGCCCTAACTTCACAAGTGCCCTAACTTCGCACAGAAATTTTACTGATCTTATTATGCATACATGTTACGTACTCCGTGATTGTTGCCACAGGTTTTGCTAAAGAAAAGGTAAACAAGAGGTTGATGACTTCATATACCTTTGTCATATATATGGGCTTGGGTTATCAGAAATATGTTGCTGTACATGTATATAGTTTGACTTTTGCTGGTATGTGAACCAAGGGATGTACGTGTATAGAAACACACGTTACACGAGTACGGACATTTTCCAAAATAGTCACAATGATTATTGTGACATACAATGTAATCAACCCTTACACATTCAGTATTAGAATAAATTCAGCTTAAAAAAGAAGTTACCCCAAATTAATATAACAATCAATCACATAACAATCACATAACATTCGAAGCATGTCAAACCTAAGAGTGCCAGTGCAATGCCTTAGAAAGCCACTACAATGCCCAATTTCGAACTTAAACTTCTTTATCCACACTACAAGCTACCTACAAAAAAAAAATTTACGGCTCTCAGTGGCCAATATGAGATGTTGTCACATTGGCGCACCAGATCCGTAAGGTGTTTTTGGCACCCTGACAGACAGATTAGCCTAGGAGGCTCGGTGTGCGTCACTCCATCGTATAGGTGGGGAAGTCGTGTAAAGTGCCTTTCCCAAGGGCACAACGTCGGGCCACGGTGAGTATCGAACCCGGGACCAACGAGTCCAACGCTCTAACCGTTGCACCACCGACGCCACTACCTACAAAAAACTGTAAAAAACATTCACAACATCAAACGAAAACGTCTCACAGTAAATGCCGCTTGTAACATGGAGCAAGAAGGGCTCATGAACAATCATGCATTTCTAATCTGAGTATTTTCTTTACATGAATGTCTTCAAAATTTATTCATCAAAACTTGACCACCTTCTGACAACTAACGTTAGCGATCGTGAGTTGGAGTGCATGAAAAGCGTGCAATGTTAGGGCACCTCCATTACATAAAAATGTTTAAATTTGCTAACAAGGTTAATGATTGACCCACATACCAGTAGGTACAATTCAACCTAAGCATGTTTCCTTCAGTTTGTTGATTTTGTTGCTCCTTAGGCCATACCAATTTAATTAGTTGGTTCTTGGATTCGCCTCTTCATTTTTTTTCCAATTTGCAAAAAAAAAGAAAGATTCTGGTTCTGGATTAACTCGAAAATGCTCAATATTTTGCCCCTCCCCCCCACATCAGTTGAGGAAAGTCCTTCCTAGTTGTTATAGTTTTTTCTTCCTACTACTAATCCTAGTTGTTGCATCTATCAATGCATTGGTTTGATTAAAAGTTCAAAATTCATTGTCTAAGTATTAACCCAGCCTTTTGTGTTGACTTCATGGCTCCTTTCATAGCATTTGGGGCTGAAAAGGATGCCTACACCTGTTTTTATTTTTATTTTTTTTTGCCCTGTCACTTCATATTTTTTCTGAAAATATCTGACAACCAATAAATTAAATTGGTTTGGCCTTAGAATATTAATTCCAGTATGGATAAGCAATGTTAGCATTATTTCCTGAAGTTTCAAATTTGTTGCTTTGACACCCTTTCTTTTATATGTTCAATCATTTCATTGACGAACCTCCATTATCATTATTATAAAAAAATTATGTTGATGTACACAAGTTTATGATTTGTATTCTCCAAGCAGAAGTTTGGGTTTTGGGTAATTTTTGGTGTGTTTTTAGGCTTCTTGATCGGGGTTGCTGTTTTTGCACTGGAATTTTTTTCACCCAACCCCCCAAAAAATTCCAGTGCAAAAAAGAAACCCTGGTAAAAAAAGACTAAAAACACCAAAAATAACCAAAAACCCAAACCTCTGCTTGGAGAGTAGAAGATGTGACGGGTTGTTGTGAATGTATTTTGAACAGCATGGCACCCTCAGCACACGGACAGAAATGTTGTGAAAGTGTTCAGCCATGTTGCAGAGCAACCAGGCAAATTTTCTCTCCCGGCTGATGTGGACTGGCATCAACTTTCCAAGTACATCAGCATATATCTCAAGGTAGGAGGCTCCATTTACATGTATGTGTTGTTAGAATTGAGCTGTTTGTAAATGTTATCAACAAGAAAACTAACCTTTCAAACATAAAGAGCTTTGGCATCCATAGCGCAATCACAAAGCTGTGACAGTTTGAATATAGAAACCAACTCCAGTGTGTCTGTTACACTATACGTGTATATGTATGTCCATTTAATCCAGGACTAATTGGAGGGAAATATCACTTTCCACTGTACATGTATGTCTCAAATATTGTCATGTGTGCAATTCACTCTGTTATACAGCAATAGTTGTCATACTTTGTACCTTGTACAACTGTTGTGCAATAAAGTTTGTTGGGCTGTATTTTGTTACACAGTAGTATTTTCCTTTCTCAAATACAAAATGTATAGGCAATACATAGTTTTTGGCTAATGCAGTGTGGAATATTAAATTTGCTTATCAAACTAACAATTGTAAATTTCTGATTACACATCCCAATCAAATTAATCCCCTGATTTGTTGCCAGTTGCAGAAAAATCTGTGCTGCTGAAAAGTACAAAAAGTAAGATGGAAAGACTCAAATAAAGTCACCTGTTTTTTGATCTTGAACCCATTTTCAACCAGATAAATTCAAATCTATGCTCAGCCTGTTGCTTTTCCTTTTTTCTAAAACTTTTGCTTAAATCAAGAACTGTTATTTAATGTCCTTGCTTGAACTCTTAAAAATGCTGTAGTTGGCCCTGTCGGAGTCGTCCACTCAGCCCATACAAACCCTGGACTTACATGTAGGGTGGAACTGCATAGGGACATGATTCCAGTATGCATCAAGTATAAGACAACAGCATCTAGCTTGGAGTTTGAGTTTTATTTAGATCCACAATTAGCCTCATAAGAGGCTATTTTTCCTGTGGTGTACACATTAGATTGATATATACTACATGTATTACAATTGAAAAGAAATGTACAAAGACATTACAAAGTTAACAGTATGGAGTAAAGACACTGGAAGGACACTGGAACCACATAACATAATATCCATGACTAGTTACCCCGACCATGGAACTACACTGCTGTCCAGCTGTCAGCTCAATACTGCCCCCTCTTGTGGGTTTGACATCTGTTGGGATCACAACTGTTTTCCTGACTGAATAGCAAAGTTCTTTTTATCACAACCATTTATTTTTCACTAGCCGACATTTCGATGACCGTGAGAATTGCCCTAATGAAGATGACAGACGGTCATCGAAACGTCGGCTAGTGAAAAATAAATGGTTGTGATAAAAGAAAATACTTTGCTATTCAGTCGTCTAACAACCTGATGAAATTATTTACGGATGTTTTCCTGACTGCTATCCAGCTACAAAACGTGCCATTATGTTGACCAACAGTGATAGCCCAGTGGTTTGACTCTGCCTCTGGATCAAGAATTTGGAAGTTTGAATGTGTAACTCACTAGTACTTGACATGGGATGTCACGGAGTTTGCCAGGGCCTGCTCTTGACTGTGTATATTGAAATGAGCTATGAGAATTTCAACAGGGGAATTCAAACAGACTCCACCAAAGCAGACTTGCTAGAAAACAAGCTGCAGGAAGCTTAAAAATTTGAAAATGTAGGAATCTTGTTTTTTTTATCCTGCCTTGTTTTTCGCATTACATTTGGAGCCTGCAGGGGATGTCATCCATAAAATTTACTTGCTGTGGCCTTATCAAGCAAGGATTGAGGTGTTTGAAATTCGTTCTTTCCAAGAACTATGGTAGAGTGGGACTCGCTGTCCTAAACTTTGTTTCTATACTTGTATCTGACGTGTATGTCCCTGGTTTATATGCATTGCCCTTCAGATGTAATCCCTTTAAACACAGAAGCTCTTGGTTTGGTCTTGGTCGCAGTTTGGGTGAACAGTCAAACCACCCAGGGGAACGAAGAAAGGTGGTCACCTTGCCACACAACATGACTGAGACATGAATGATTCCCAAGTCGAGATGTTTTAATGTCAACTGCCGTAAGCATCTTCAGTTCTGTGGAAAATGCATGTGGGGAGGGTGGAACATGGCACAGTGTACATTGAACAAAAACATTGTCCAGCAGTCTAGGCAAACTGGCTGGTTTCTCCATGATGTCTCATTAGTTATCATGGGATGGTGGCCAGTGTGAAAAGGTTGACTGTAGTTCCACCTCTCCTGGAACTACATCCCCCATGCTTCACCTCTAGTTCCACTTTAAGGCCAAGGTTTTGCTGGGAAAAAATTGTTTGGAATGTTTCATTATAATGATGTGGGCGACCATTTTTAAAAGAAATACAAAGGCTTTTTAAAAACGAATGAATTACAAAAGTCTCTTTGTATATAGAATGACTGCTTATAGATAAATTCTAACAAAAAATGTGTACATTTTCTCCCAAGAGAAATGTCCAGGCACCCATATTCATTGATATTTTATGAGGATTCATGAGTAAATTGGAAGATGTCTTAAAGTCTTTTTTTACTTCAAGTTGCAACAAATAGTTGTGAAAACACAACATATTTGGTGAGGGCTGTACTATGTCATGATTAGGGTGAAAAGACTATAATAATGTTGTTTTTACATGTATAGGCTATCCTTCTGTCAAAGCCACTCTGACTTCTCTAATGTTGACTATTTTTTACCCTTAGGTAGAGAAATGGGGAGTGACAAAGAAGCCAATCTCTGCCCCCTTCCATAGGATGAATAATGATGATGCACACCAGGCCATTGCCGTATTCAAGATGGTAAGTACATGTACTGTACCTTACATGTACACAACTTTGTACCTTCTACAATGTAATCACTTTATAGGTCATGTACATGTATTTTGATTACATGGATGGCATCCACTTGGAATCCCAAAACTAATATGAGCGTGCAAATAAAAAAAGTTTGGAAAAAAAGAAGAAGTTGCCCTCTCTCCTTCACAAGTTCCGAGGAGAGCTATATATGTTTCTATATTTCACAGACAAAACCACACAAATAGGGTAGTGAGCTCACCGTCACCTCAGTAAAGCCGGCATTTGTTGGGTCTTCAACTCAGCAACAGATAGCTTTCTACTGTAAATACACTGTTGTTCTCAGCTTAAAGCTTGTACATTCTTATACACGAGCCTAATAAAAAGTTTCTCCATACTACTAACAAGTAATGCTGTTAGCTTCCAACCCATTTTACCCTGATTGCCAATTGCTTAAGCCAAAGTCAGGCTGGTCAGTTAAACCAAGCTAGGCTCTGTCCAGCGGATGTTTAACGCATCCTGACTTGTAACTAACTTCTAAACGGTGAAGTCTCAAAAGCTCATCGCTGTGATCAAGGTTGGAAATGTCCTGGCCAGAACAGTTGCAAAAAACAATATACCTATTAGTAAGCAATGTTGAGTAACACAGGCACAGCCTGAGTAACAACTGACCGTAGTACTTAGTAAGTTACACGGTGACCGTTGCAGGTCAAACTTCAATTACGATAAACAAAACACGGGCCTAGCATAATGCCATACAGAGGTTACAACTACACAACATACTGCTCAGTACAGCAAACTGTTTGCACTGTGAGCGCTAGCAAGGCAGAAGGTTATGTTACAACTGAGTACGTACATTGTAAGCTATGTTGCAGGTACAAGTGAGAGCATACATACATGTGCTATGAAGAAAATATAAGATTCAACATATAACAGTAAGTGTTGCTGCTGTTGTGATGTCAATATGAGATGAGAAGAAAGGAAACATTATTAGTGGCCTTAGAATCCAGGTGTTCTCAGATTAGTCATGGGAGGGTTGGGTGGGAATGTGACTGTACAGAGAAAGGTTGAGCCACAAATGACCTTACAGGGGGTAGGGGGAAGGGTCAGAGGGTAAAGGGGGTGGAATAGTTAGTATAGCAGGGTAGGGGTCATGTGATTCGTCTGTTCATCCGACGGGAAATGAGACAGTCACTTCATAATGATTATAAAATTATAAAATCTAGGTGGTCAGGAATATTAAATAATGACGAAACACACATGCTATGGCAAATAATAGACTCTCTCTTCATTTTCATCTCATAGTTTTCTTCTTTCCTTTGGAATTGATTTTGGCATTCTATAACATAAGACATCATTTTCCAATATTTTTTTGCCACACAATTGAAAGTCTTTCGATTAAAAGGGAAAGATTTTAAGACAAAACTTAGTTATGATTTTAAATGAACTATTATGAGCAATATCTTCCAGCGCTACGTTTGTAAAGATACACACTCAGGTACAATTAGGGTACAGTAACATGTGGTACCC